TATGACCGAGAGGACTAGACGGCTATCAAAACTCAGAAGAGACTTCTTGAACTCTAATCTGCACGAGCCCAGCGCGAGCCCGCAGTTCCAGCGAGCCGGTGTCCGCGCTTCGATGCCGACTAAAAGTTCTCCAGTGGTTAAATATAAAATTGAAAGCCCTAATTTGTTCAAGTTTCCTTTTGCGGAGCCGTACTCCACACCGACGCCGGTACGTAGAGTGGTGGTCGATTTGGGATCGCCCGAAGTCAACGGGAAAGAAAACGAAGACCCAGAGGCGAAAACTAGACATCAGAGTTTGCCGGACCACGGAGTGTCATCAAAGGTGGATCATCAAAAACTTTTCGAAGAATTAGTTAAACGTTACTCTCCTCAGCGTAAGCCTATCGACTGGTCAATACCGCCGACTCGGCCGAGAGTCGTGGCCTCGGTGCCTAAATCAATTTCGAGCGGAACCGATAGCGTCGACAGTGAACACAAAAAATCCCAAGATGACAAAGTGAACGGTGCAGAAAATGATGATGTATTTGAAAATAAAAAGATTGATTCAGAAAGAGAAGAGAACAAAAAAGAACCTAATGATGTTCAAGAGAATAACATTAAAATAATACAAAATGGTCCTGAAGTAATACTCGAAGCGAACGAGGTATTTAAAGATACATTAATAAAAAATCAATTAGAAAATAATAATGAATCAAAAACATCCTTAACTGAGTTGGAAGAGAAAAATGATAGAGTACCAGAGTTGCCACCGCTACAGCGACAAATAAGTAAAGAGAGTAATAAAAAACAAACACCAAACACCGACCTGACAATACCGAAGCTAATAGAAAAAATATCTGTGGAAGGCGACAATCTAGAGCAGAAAACGACTAAAGGTAAAAAAGTTAAAAGAAAGAGAAGTTTCTTAGACAAACTTCTAGGTCGTAATAAGGAGAAATGATAAGATAATGAATGATACAAAATCGATATTGCAAAGCAGCATTGCAGTAAAATAAACCTGCCAAAGATTAAATCAAGATTACTCTGTTGTTACGACGAAATGACGTCAACGTGTGTAATATTTCTAAATTAGAAATAAATATACAAAATTATTTGACTGTCGATATTGATATAAGTTTTTCGGTGCTACAAAATACGAAGGTCGAACGTCTTTTTATATTTTATCTAAATGCAATGGGTGGGTTATCAGGAACTGATAATTTGTGTGCCATGTGACACGCCCTATCTACAAAACTCTAATTCCAATGTAGTAAAACATTTTAAAGTCTTATTTAATATTAATCTAGGTATTTATAAACTGCATTAAATTATTCATTGTTCGGTTTGGAATTTTCCTGTAAATGTGTTGTGTGTACACTTTGTATAAATTATATTTGTAAATATTGTTTTCATAGTATTAAACAAAGCGCAAAATAATTTTTGATTTCTCTTGTAATATTCCCAAGGAGTATATTTAAAGAGTCTTTTGCTTATTAAATGTTTTGATAAAGAATAGTGTGTTTTCATTGTATCGCACAAAATAAAACATGATTATGTCCAGGTGTTAATTAAACATGAAATGTTATTAGAAAATTATTATAACTTAAGACTCCGATAGCCTAACAGTTAGAAACAAAAGGTTTTAAAGAAAGGTAGTAAAGTACATTGAAAAAAAATGAAATAATATGTTCAAAAACGTTTATTGGTTATTTTTAATTGTCTTACACAGACTTTAAATATTAACCTTTTTAACATTTTGCAATTCGACATTTTTCAACCGTGTCTCATGACCTTATGGAATTTCCCGCATTGTGTAAGCCTTATTTAAATAAATGCATTTAAAATTAACCTTATGATTCAATGAAATTAAAATACTGATAAGTTAGTATATTTTATCTGTAGATTAAATAAAATATCAATGATATTTGGCGATGTTTTGACTAGTTTCAACTTCAGAAAAGTGACATCTATTGGCTGTTTACAGCACTACCAGAGCCCATAGACATAGTTTTTTACTTTAGAATCCTTTCAAAAATAGCGGGAATGTGGTTCCTTCCCAAACGTAAGAAGTATTAAACGACAGTCAATTCTAACATGAATAATTTTTTCCGAGGTAAATAACAACAAATTCTATGTTAATAAAATTTTATTTTACTTCATGTATTGTATTTTTATATGTTAAACTAAATTGATTTAAAATCCGTATCTAGTTTGCGCAACGCTGCTTCAAGTGAGAACAAATGTTCGTCTTCAACATTGGGTGCTATTTCTCTCATAGCATTTGCTAAATTGTATACATATTCCTTGTTAGATCCACTTGGTCCTATACAATTGATTACTTGTTTTGCTATTGCGTCTATTGAAGCAGCTCCTGTAATTTAAAAACAGTTTTACATATTAATATAAACAGGCATGTGCAATAAAGTACACAGATAATATACTTTGTTCCAATTAATTTATCAGTAGATTTTATTTATAAATTTTGCCAAAATTACAGTAACTGAAAAATAATTGATCATAACAGCCAACATGTATGGAATTTGACATTCCTCTGTTTAATTAAATTAAAAAAAAAATTAAATGAGATATCATCTCCCTGACCTTGTCCCACTTACATAGGATTGGCGGAAGAAGTCATCACCCCCTTCATTAACATGTCAGCTTTCACACAATCTATCCATCTCTTTCTAGGCCTACCTCTAATTATATAGCACAAACTTGTTTTTTTTTTTAATTTTAAGATTTTAATAAAATTACATCACCTGCATAAGATTCATTTTCTTTGGTCGCTACATATAAAGTTAACAAAAATGGTTCAACATTCTTGTCTTTAGGATGGAATGTGACAGTTTTCTTAGAATATCCATTTTTTTCTCTAAAATCTAGATGTTTTGTTACACTATCAATATCTTGAGCTCTAATTTTGTAAGCAATTCCCCATACTGTGCTGTTTGGATCCTCACTTGGTACTAATGTTACTACTCTCCCAGGCTGAAATATCACAAAAATTATTTATATACAAGCTGTTGGCAGCAACTCTGTCCGCTCGGTTTTAAAAGAAACTTAATTAGTAGGCTATGTGTTCTTCCAGATTGTGTTTTACATCTATGCCAAATTTCAGCGAGATACATACAGCCATTATGGAGATACCTTCAAACAAACATCCATCCATCCAAACATTCATATTTGTAATTAAGATAGTTTTGTAAACAGCAAGTGGCGATTATCACAATAGATCTGTTCTAAGTGGTTCAGATGGTACTAAAATAAACACAACTCATTGACTGAAAGGACTTTTGGTTAAATAAGTAATGAAACAATTATCTCACCTTCTCTGGTATTCCTCTATGGTCTATACTATGCTGATAGAATCTTCTCAAATAACCTTTTATGTTACCTACAAGTTTGTATTCGTATTCAAAATCTACTTTCCAAACTAAGGATCCATATCCAAAAACCCACATTATGAATTTAGATAAATATACATTTATACACTTTAATATTTCATTTATTGACTCATCGGTCTATTGATTTTTATATTATTTGCCATTGTTGACGTTGACCATTTAGAGATGTGTTTAATTTATTTAACTGCAAATTTTTCCATTTTGGTGGTTACAGCTGTCAGCTGATGCCAATGTCATGACAAGACAATCACTTTGACATGTACACAATTTTGAATGTTGCCATAAATTTTGTACACATTATTTAATGTTGGATTTGTTGGATGATTGGAATTTTAACTGATATTGATTGTCAAATCTATACATATTAATAAATAGGAGTGTCTGTATGTAGCATCGACAAAAGGAAATTTGTCCACATAATAACATAATATGGAGTTAATCTTAAGAATAATTATTGTCCGCGCGACTGTACAAAACTATAAAGAATGTTAGAATTATCACTGGGGGAATCAATGTACATATAGAACCCCTAGGTCCCTAGGGGTTATATTTCAGGGGGAAAAGATAGACTTATCCGAAATGTTCAATAGCAAGTGTCATTAATATTTTTTTTAAACTGACATTAAAAAATAGCAAAATATTTAACTTCAAGAATCTCTGATTTTTTAACATAAGAAAATGATAAAAACATTTTAAATTATCATAAATATGTACAATGTTTTTCAAGAAAGAAGTTGGGATAGTATTAAAGTATTACAAAAATAAATATTCATGTCTACTATAGCCGAAAAGCTATGCGGTGATATAGTAAATCCAGTTTTAGAGCAATCATCCGCTTCTTCGCATTACGCAGATAATTCCAAAAGCCAAAATGCAAGTCCAACCAGATCCATTCTCGTCGAAAAAAGGAAAGTCGTTAACAATATTATACCCAAGGGCAAATCTGCTGTTGTCATAACTAAATTCAAAACTCGAGAAACAGTTTACAATAAAGTTTTTACTGATAAATCTACGAATACAATAATATCTGGACCTTTAACTTCCAATGTTGAGTGCATGACTAATATTAGAAAAAGAGCGATATGCACTTGTGGGAGAGCTATGATACCACCACTGGACGTGAAAGATGTCCAGACATCAAAAATTCAATTATATCAAGCCGATAAGTCGTGCTATTACTGTTCCGAACCGGAATCATGCATAACCCGTAGTACACAATTTTTTGATGTATCGGAAACTGTAGAGAATAATATTTGTAATTCAAAATCATTTCTCAAGGGTCATAAACCTGGGTCAAGCAGAAGCAATCGGCCTATCTACATTGACAGTTACAGTGCAAAGCGTTGGGCTTTGTCAAAGTATCCAAAAAGAGGACCAGATTTTTAAAAATCAAATTTTTATTACAAGTTCAAATGATTAAAAATATAATATTACTAAACGAAACTATAAAACATCTTAAATATTGTTAAAAAGTAAATAATCTTCATGGACTATGTAATATCTTGTTTATTTCAAAATTTCAATTTGTTCATTGTGCTGTCTTTCAAATTTTGTGAAAAATGTGTAATTCTATAAAAAAATCGTATAGTTGAGGAAAATAAAACAATAGTACAATAATGTTGTAAAAGTGTATTTCTAATCCAGTCCACTACACCTGCGTACAAAATAAGTGTTTCACCTGGTTTTGTACCTAAAAAAATAATACATTTTAAAACATATTTCAGATATATTACAAATTAAGAATTCATAAGCAAGAATATAGCATGAAATAAAACAATTATGCCAAATAATAAAAAAAAAACATCATAAGCAGAAAGTTACAAAATTTGTTATGAAAACAATTATTTTAAAAATATAATTAAGTCTATGAGATTCTAAGAAGAATTACTAAAGCATATTAAGTATTTCACAAATATTATTTCCTTATTTGATGCTCACATGTTTGGTTGTGCTGGGCTTGCAGGTTGTGGTGGAACTTCCAAGTTCTTTATCAGCTGCGCCAACCAATGCTTAGTGGAATTATCCTCCTGAAGACATGACGTGAATGTTGCATCACGAAGTTGATCTGGAAGACATTGTCTCAGAGCCTCCCTAGCTCTTGGGTTGTCGGACAAACGGAGATAACAGCGAACAACATGTTTCAGCAAACGTGCTGATGGCTCTTTCGCTAGAGACAACACCATCTTACCAAGTATCATCGCTACATGAGAGAATCTGTCATATGTTTGGCATATATAGCATAAGCCACTGTCATCCAATAAGATTTTCTGTAATATAAATGTGGCCACAGTCTTTGAGAGTTCTGAGCCATTTTCCATGATACGGAGACAGAGGGGTATGATTTCTGTTGTCAAAAGAAACGTAATAACTTCCTGTTCATCTGTCTTTACTAAGGCTCCTATGACACCTAGACTGGTCAAGCGCAGGTATTCAAAAGGGCGAGTTTTGGACACAGTGTGAAGAAAAGGGTAAAGGAACAGTGGTACATGAGCTTGCAAGAAAGCGGATCTGGTTTCTGGATGGGAAGCTACACATTGCATGAGAGCTAAAGCATTACATACACGATTGCTTTGATGAGCTGTAAGGGTAGGAGGTATCATAGCAACATAAATGTTGGTGATTTCTTGTAATAAAGCAGCGATAGTCCCAAAACTATGCCACAACATAGGAGCTAAATCCTGCACCACCTCTCGTTTTTTACTTAACTCCAATAGAGCATTTTCGCGACTTTCAGGATTACATAGCTCCAAAATCCAGGTGTACACTTTTTCTCTATCGACTGCCGCTTGCATACTTGTTTGAGCCGGGCTTTGTTGCGCACTCATGTTATTGTTCATGATTTTATGAAATGCACCCTCCAATTCTTTAACATAATTTTCTCTTGCATTATACAACTGTTCCGACCTGGAACTCGTTGTGGACAAGTTCAATAACTATATATTTATCGAATAAAAACCTGGAAATCTCTTATATTACTTGAAATACTAGGAATATTTACAAGAAATAATAAAATCACACGCGTACACTCCCAAGAACATAAATCAATTTGAGAAAGAAAAAAGCAGATTATAAAATCGTTAATCACATCAAAGAATACGTACGATATTGATCTCTACAAATGGATGGGCTATTTGCTTTGGAGACGGTTTGTGGGGTTTGCTTGGAAATGACAGTTTTTGCTTCGTTACAACTTAAACGCGCTGTGATTTTCCTTAAAAAATGGTAATTCCTTGGTGAGTAAAAAGCTAGAAAAACCAGCGTACATTTTTTTGATTTACCTTATTTCCTGTCAGGAATTATAGTTTTTATTTGTTTACTTGTTAAGTTATTAACTGTTACATACTCTTTGGTTGTCAATGTCAACTGTCAACTTGTAAATTTAAATGTCAATTGTGGTCAATTTATTGAAATCAATTATAAAATAAATTATTTGGATAGTTTACGTTGCGTTTTATATTTGCATATGTTTTGGTTAAAGACTCAGGTTTATTAATTATTTTGCATATTTGTTCCCTAAATCAATTTCGTTTGTATCTTGTGCTTACAATTTTGATAACGTTTAATAGGAAATGAATAATCATACGTGAAATACTCAGTGGAAAAAAGAAACTTTGATTGGTTTGTAGTATAGATCTTTATTTTATTTAATAGGTTAATGATTTCTTTATAACTCAGGGTTATTTTAACCATCTATTTAATATTACCTAATACGAAAGTTGATTCACAGTTTTATGACGCCATTGTTTTGATATTAAAATGAATTAGAACATCGTTTAAAGTAGTTTTGAAAATCAATAACCTATGACGGGCGAACGCTTATTATTTCTAAAGTATTAGTATTATAAAAAATTTAGTGCTTAAAAATAAGTACACACATTAATGCCAGATCTCCTATTTCGAGATATTTATTGTCCCCACTAATAAAGAAAGTACCGTATAAAAATAAAAGTTAAATCCCAGAAGACTCTTTATAGAAAAATGTCATAGAACTTGATGAAACTATGACACATATAATTTAAAAATATAATAATCAACTATGTGAAATCGTAAAATATCATGTACAGATTTTTGAAAGAAATAAATTTATTTTTAGCTACAACCTTTATTCTCCTAAGTTCAATAGGAAACCATCTAAATACAGTCAAACCTAGAGAAGGGTGAACTGGATAAATGAGAAGAAATCTGTTTGAGAGAAATCTTATCCAAATTTGATTGTATGAAATATACATTGAGTACATAAAACTGTTTAATTTACAGCATCATGGAGGTGTCTCATTCATTGACATTAAATGAGTCAGCTCTACAGCAGTTGCCAGATGACAAAAAGCCTCATTTCATTTTTGAATGGCTCCGTTTCCTAGACAAGGTTCTTGTTGCAGCGCATAAGGTATGTTTCCAATTGTACACTTTGTGGCTCCATTCTTTACTTTAATTCATTTGTTGTAATTTGTTCATAATCTGTAATAAGTCATATTTGAAATAAGAAAAATTAAATTGTCAACTTTTTAGTACAAAAAAGGTAGTGTCAACACCCATATTCTCCATTATGTTGCAACTTAATTTTTTCTTTGAGGTTTTATTACTATTAAGTTTTTATTTTTATAATATTTTTTTCTTATACAGTCTGATATTAAAAGCTGCCAGCAAAAACTTGTAGCCCAACTGGTCAATCTACTTCGTGAATCATTGGGTGCACCAGCACGGAGACTGCTTGCAAGATGTCTAGCTACATTGTTTTCAGTTGGTGATACATTTCTACTGTTTGATACGGTCAATAAATGCAATGATATCATCAAAGTTAAAGATGATTCACCATCCTACTTACCAACAAGACTGTGAGTACTATAGTTATTTAAATATTACTTAATTATAACTATCGACATTATTTGAATATTGAAAAGCTATACTGATGTTTCACTTAAATGTTTAATAAGACCCTTCCTTAGTGTAGATTCAAGAAATATAGTATGATACACTAAGGCTAAGGTATGTTAAAATGTTCATTAAGTCACACTAATTGTGATCCACAGGGCTGCCATTTGTTGTCTGGGAAGTATGTATGAAAAACTAGGCAGGATGATGGGAAGATCATATGAAGAGACAGTAACAACACTAGTGAGATCACTCAAAAGTTCCGAGTCACAGACTAGATTGGAAATTATGATAACTTTGGAGAAGGTATGTAATTATTATCCCCTGTATATCAATACAGCAGGTAAGTAGGTAGGGTCGACGCAGTGTAGGTAGGCCTCTGATGATGATGAACCAATGACCTGGTAAAGGTTGCGGGAGTGCACAGGATGCGGGCGGCACAGGACCGGGCATTGTGGCAATCGATGGGGGAGGTGTACGTCCAGCAGTGGACAAATTTAGGCTATTTATGATTATGATGTATATCAATACAAAACTTTTGGCTTGTAGTCACTCTTATGAATCCCTGTTACCTGCATCCTATTACTTTGCACACTTTATTTGCACACTAAATTCCAACATAAAATTATGTTATAACTATAGACTATGCAACTCTACAGATTGTATATTAAGGTGTTATTCAATATTATGTATTGTTGGTTTAGATATGTCTAGGTATGGGTACGGCTGCGGGCGCGGCGTTGCGCGAGGTGTCGCGTGCTGCGCGCGGTGCGTTGCTAAGCGAGCGCGCGTACGCGGTACGTGCGGCAGCAGCGTGCGCGATGCGACGTGTCCTGCCACTGATGCGCCTCACCCCTGCTGATGTTGATGCGATTGCTGCAGCCTGCTTACGTGCTGCTCATCCAAGTGATTATGCACTGAGGTGAATCTTTTTTTGTAATGGTTGAAATAACTCCATAGGAGTTGCCAGGGGAACAAGAAAGCAGCTGCCCACCCCCCAAGGGAAACCTAATAATGTAAAATAGATATAAAAACTACTTAGCAATACTAATATAACTCAAAGTTTATTTGTCAGTTTTATCCATTCCTTATTAGCTAGGCTAATAAGGAACCTTTAGAATAAAAAGGATATCTAGCTGCAAACCTGTAAATCTAGCCTAAATAATTTGCTTGCGATACCTTTGACTAGCTCTAGGCTGTAATCACACAAAGTCTGACTCGGGAAATAGGTTCTTATCGATATGCACATGTAATGACTTGATTTGTTTAATGTTATGTCATAATAATTGTTATATCAGGTGTGCAGTAGCAGAACTTCTTGGTTCACTGATAGCCACAACTCAAGCGGGAGAACTCACTAATGCTAATACTAAGATGAAGATGGGTATTCAATCAGGTACGTTTTTGAATAGTATTCTAATATACAATAATGTACTTTATGCTATGTTACATATTAAAAACTTAAGACTAAACAAAATAGTTTTTAATAATATATATTTTTTTTATTTTGATGATGAAATTGGAATAATTTTCGGAATATAAAAAAACATTGCGATAGTGTTATTTAATAACATTAACTAAAAAGTTTTATTTCAATTATTAGAGTTAGCGCGAGGAATTAAAAAAAAATATAATAAGTAGTCTATGTGTTCTTCCAGACTATTTCCTATATGTATGCTAAGTTTCATCCAGGTCCGTTGAGCCATTCTGGAGATACCTTCAAACAAACATCCATCCATCCAAACATTCGCATTTATAATATTAGTAAGACATAAATATTTAAATTTATTTTATTGTTTCTCAAAATTCCATAAATTTTGTGTTTTTTTAGTTCAACAAAGCAAAAAGGATCCACAAAAGAATGTGGTGTCATTGGATGAAGCTCTCAATCTACTAATGGGTGCATTCCTAAGGGGCGGCACCTCCTTCCTTAAGGGAGATATCATCAAATCAGGTTCCGGAGTGAACAGAGAAGTGAGAGTTTGTGTTACACATGTAAGTAGATAAATAGATACATAAAAAATGTTTTTTTGTAATCATTTTAGAAAAAGTAATTGTTTTTTTTATATTTTTATGTAATAAATTTTACTAAATATATCAAAAATAACTGATAGCACTGAAGTGACCGTTGCCCATAGACATACGCAATAGCATATGCGTTGCCTACCTTTAATCGACGGAGGAGAAGATGCACAGAAAGAAAACATTTCCATGCATCCTCTCATCCGGAAAGTCCATTTCCACTTCCCATCCTTTCATATGTAAATAATGTTTATCTTTGGTAACAAATATTTTTTGTTTATTCCAGGCTTATGTAATCTTCGTCCAGAACATGGGCGGTGTGTGGTTAGAACGTAATATGACTACTTTTCTCACTCACGTTCTAGATTTGGTGGCAAATCCTAAAGCCGCTAGCTCACATGTAGATGCTGTCTATTCTAGGTATGTAGCACACATCAAAAGTGTTTCAAAGATATATCATATACAGGTTGTTACCTTTTGGTTCAATCGGTCTAACGATTAATCGTCCGTCCCGATGGGATTTATTCCAATTGAACTTATTACATCTATAGAATTTATGGGACAAATGCAATTTTTTTTTAAATTCTATGGACTCGATCGACATGTATCCCGTTGGGCCGATCAAGCTATTGACCAATCGGGCTAATTATATTTGGTTTTGCTTCTACGGACTCAATCTACCCAATAAAAAAAATCTCATCGACCGATCGATCCAATAGGAAACATCCTATATAACCTAATGTTATTTTTTTAGGAAGTGCATAAATTATATACTACGCAATACTTTGGGCAAAATGCTGGGAGAGAAGGCTCAAGCGTCAGCCTGCAAAGAAATTATACAGATTGTGGCCAAGCAGATGAACAGTATTGACTTCAACCCGGAGAATGCTAAGGATTGTAATCAGGTATTAGAACTATGTAACTAATATATGCTAATTTGACTAGGGACTAGTCACCCCTAACTTAGGGTATGATCCGAGGCCTCCATTGGGGACGTATTGTGAGCTGATGATGATGATGATGATGAATTGTTGCCCTCGATTCCGTCCACAGGGAATTAAAAAAACTGAATATTTAGTCTATGTGTTCTTCCAGACTATGTTCTACATCCATGCCAAATTTCATCAAGATCAGTTGAGGTGTTTTGCACCTTCTAACAAACATGTTGTTAGAAGTAAGTATCTGTAAAATCTGCATCATACATACAATTTTGATTATTCTTTTCAATTGATTTGTAAACAGAAGAGATTCACGATTTTATTTTAAGTTATTGACTACTGTATTTAGTCAACTTGAACTCTCAAATTCTATCTTTTGTGGACCTCAGCAGGTCCATCTTGTTTTTTTTGGAAATGGCTGTTATATGTTCAATTGTTTTATTTTCAGGAGACATTATTCAGTCAGCATTTGTTGGTGTGCGCGTTATCTGAGGCGGGGGAGCTGGCGCAGCAGCTCGGCACTTCAGTACACAACCTGCTCATCGACACATCACTTAACATGATCGATACCATATTCACGGTCAGATTACTATGATTTATTATATTTATAATTACTTAAAAAAATTGCCAACTATCAAAATGGTAGACCAAACACAACATCCTGTATCTTGTGACCTTTTACAGAAAGAACGCAAAGCGTACGAATTAATTATAAAAAAAACATAAAAATTTAGTCTTTCTTATATGGTATTTCAGAGTAATTTATGTTCCAAATTTTATGCAGATCCGTGCAGCAGGTTTGACGTAAATAGGTAATAAATATCCATCCATCCATACATCCTTACGTCCACAAAATTTGACATGCATGCACACGAAACCCATAGCAATAAGTGTCATTATTCAATCCCGATAGATGACCTTGAGAAGGGAGAAACTTGATTTTCAGAGAAATCTCTATAGGTATAAGTAAAAAAAATATCATGGTCTCATTAAGTCCCGATAATCCATGTTTTGTATTTAATAAAAAAAATAGTTTCGTTTATTTTTTTTTGTTTTTCAGGTGTTGCAACACCCATGTGTCGCTGCGAGGTTAGCGGCGGCGCGGTGTCTGCGAGGCATTTGTGAAGCGCTGCCTGCACAGATCGCACCCCTACTGGACAGATGTGTAGATGCGTTAGATGCACCAAGACCTACCCCCCACCACATCTCTGGTAACTTATACATATCTTACTCATATGTTTAGTGCTTTGTATACTATTTTTAGACATTATTAGTTAGAATCATTTGACGCGAATGGCGCGCTTTCGTTACAAAGTCAAGTGTCAGAATGATTAGTGAGGGGACATAAACGTCGACATTTTAGTAAGGCTAGTGTTGCGCCAGTACACCGGCACATTATCGGATTTTCTTCCTAACACTTCGTCAGCATAAAATAAAAAAGTAGCCTATAATATGCTCGCATGATTCAGCTCAGCTACCTTCCCGTTCAAATCCCATCAGAATTTTTCCGGAGAATACCCGGAATAAACGCCATCTTCCGGACATACAGACAGACAAATTTTTTTAAATGTAATTACAGCTGTATATGAAATTTGTTTTTTTTTTCATTTTGAAAAGTTGAATACAAATCTGTTTTCAATTAGTCTACGATTAGACTCTTATTAAGGTATTATTATTTATTTATTTGTTTAATCAACAAAATTAAACGTCTTCTTGTTTTAGGCACTATATAGGTTACAGACATTTGACGTAAATAAAGTATATGGGTATAAAAAATGCAACATTTATATAAAATAAAAAAACTTTGTACTTTGCTTAGGTTATTCAGCAGCGCTGGGTGCGATACTGGGTGCGGTGGGCAGGTCCCCGCTGGGCGTGCCGCACGGGCGGGGCAAGGTGGCATTCAACGCGGCCGAGCAGCTGCTGCGCTCAGCCGGACAGAGCAGCCGCCTCACCGCCGCCAGGACCAATGCTGGCTGGCTTATTGTTGGCGCTATATGTACATTAGGTAACAAAAAAAAAACATAAAAATGTGCTATTATGACACTAAGTGAAAGAATCCGGTGTCACCTCATTCGTGATGACACCGGATTCAATAATACTCACGGAGAAGTGAGAAAGATGTGTCAGAAGTGCAATGGAGGTCAGTGGTATCTATCTACCCTTCTGTATTACGGGCGTGAGTTATGTTCTTGTAATAGTAATGAGTGTATAGGAAGTTTTGATACAATATGTAGATTATTCGGTTTTCTCAATATTGTTGACTATAAGATCCAAACATGTATTTTTTGTAAAACACTTTGTAATATAAACAATATGTTGCAGGTGTGCCGGTGGTACGTGGACTACTGCCCCGCATGCTGCTACTCTGGAGGAACAGCTTCCCACGCTCTGCTAAGGAACTGGAGTCAGAGAAGGCTAGGGGAGATGCATTCACTTGGCAGGTAATGGACTCCGCATATATTGTGTACTAGCTATCGCTCGCGACTATGTCCAGACTGTTTATATCTATACTAAATTTAACCGAGATCCGTTAAGCTGTTCTGGAGATACCTTCTAACAAACATCCATCCATTCATACATCCAAATATTCGCATTTATAATATTAGTAAGAAGTATAGTAACGATTTGGGTAGACATATTTTTTTATTATTATTGAAAATATTACAGGATAATATAAAAATATTATATACTATGTCCCTTAGAAATAATGTAGCTACGTAATGGTGAAAGCATTTCTAAAATTAATCCAGTAGTTGGAGTTTACCTGTTACAAACATACAAAAACTTTGCTCCTTATATATACTTACTCTGTTTTTACTTAGGTGACATTAGAAGGTCGTGCAGGCGCATTGTCAGCACTCCACAGTCTGCTTATACACTGTCCTTCGTTAGTACACAACGATGACACCGCCAAACGTCTCACTCAGCCCATAGATGGCGCCATTGCTGTTCTTACCAAGTAAGTCAATTATTTTTTACACAAACTTGTATGTAATTTCTTCTTGACTAGCTGTGGCCCGCGATTCCGTCTGCGCGGTATTAAATTTAACTTAGTAGTCTATGTGTTTTTCCGGACTATGTTCTACATCTATGCCAAATTTCAACGATATCCATACAGCTGTTTTTGAGATATCTTCAAACAAACATCCATTCATTCATCCAAACATTCGCATTTATAATATTAGTAAGATTTACTTAACAACATATAAATAAGTAACATATCTAGAATATTTTGCTTTTTTAACTTAATATAATAACACTTAAAATACACTTTTTTTCTTGTCAGTGTGAGCACAGTGGTACGTAACTACGGCGGGGCT